TTGTATTTAAAACGTATATTTTAGGATTTTAAGAATATAAATGCATAATATATTTCAGTACATTTTCGAACTTTTTTTTAAAAATAATTTAACTATAAAAAACGAAATATAAAGCAAAAAAACATACCTAAAATTTGAACAAATTAAAAGAATCGTTGTATCACACTATAACGCTTTTATTGCAAATTAATATTTAATATTAAAAAATAAATAAATAATAATAGATGTACTAAAAAAAGTAATAAAAACATTAAAAAATTTCAGGCTAAATAAATGGTCATGTGCATATTTTGGTGTTCTTTTAAACAACTAAAAATGCGTATTTTATTATTGTAGTGCATATTTGGTTATTTTTTTAGTGCATAAACGCATACATATTACAGTTATTTTAAGTGCATAAACATCCGAACCCTAATGATAACTATACATAATATATACACTATATATATATACAGACATTGTTAATCAACTTTGAGTAGGTTTGCGCATTGACATTTTCGCTTTTACTTATGGGTATACGCATTAAAAACGTTATTAAAAAATCAATATTAGGTATATTATTACATTATTATTCGCCCGTCGCTGCTGTCGACCGCAATAATATTTTATAAACGTATCGTACCGCCGTACGTATAATTATTACGGTTATTATAGGTACATCATATTATACGATATATACGAGTGGTTATAATATTATTGTATTATATTATTATAGGTAGACATGTAAACACGACCTTTACAACGATTTTACGATGTCTGAATATTTTACAACGGGTAGGTATAGGTATGTATAATATTATATCGTGAAAAATAATATGTGGGCCGTGGTCTATACGCCATATTATGTTTTTACAATATGTTTTACGTATATACCTGCACACACTATATACAGGTAGGTATATAGTAGCTTTAATAGCTAATATAGGCAATCATATTATTCTTATCACGATGCGGTGTGCGTGATGCAAAAGAACTGGTAAATAATAAAATATGTTACGTATAATAGTATTATAATCATTATTTCAGTTTGGATAAATAACACGTTGTTAGGGGTAGAACACGATTCCGGATGGCCCTTATCAGCGAACGGAATTGTGCGCATTTTAAGGCACACGATTCCGCACGTTTTGTGCCTAAGACTTTATAGTGCAATTTAGCCAGGTATTCATAAGGTTACGTATAGGTATTTGACTTTATTTACCTTTGTTATAGTGTTTTACGTAGAGTATTCCCAACTGTTATATTATAACGTACAACGGTTTACAGTGGTTCTGTATTATCATACAAGTTGTTGTTGTGTCATGAGATAAGATATCTTATCTTAATTATCCCCGTAGTACGTTTTACATTTACCTAGTCGCCAGACGGTATAACCACCGTCATTTTGTGTAAAGTGCGTTGCGTTACAGAAATCAAAGTTCTAAATAGTCAATATGGAAAACGAACGTAAAGTTGATGATTTCGGAAAAAGTAAAATCGATCGTATAACTTAATATCCTAATATAAATATCTTTTTTGAAATTTAACTTTGGCTTTTTCAAGTTCATCAACCTATTTTTATTACGTTATTATTGAAGAAAATTAAACGAATCGACAATGATAAATAATAAGTGGCATCATTGCCCAGAAAATCGTACGTATAATCGTATCGTAATTTTGACAATCGAACGGAATCGTGTTCCCAAAAATGTAAAACGTACAAAATCGTGCTCTACCGGTTGTTAGACTTGCTGATATATATTGTAATATACAAATTATACGTATTATAGCTGATTACTATGCATACGGTGTACACGGTCGGACAGCCTACACCCAATATATATTATCGGTAAACCGTCTTTGGGGTAGGAGTTCGAGACACGAGAAACGTAATACAAATACAATATATCATAAAGTTAATATTTCGGTTAAATATTTGTAGATGAGTAATATGTTTTTTAAACATTGCTAACGAGGGTAAATAATAATAATAATAATAATAATAACATACGGGGTATAGTTTACAATGAGCATTATTATAGAAACGCACGTCGCGCTGTCTTATAAACCGATTTAGTACCGATTTCTCGCTGTTATTTTTGATAATATTAGAACGTGAATTTCTATAGCTACTAGGTATCAAAATTAAAAGTATGTGGACATTATATGCGTTTCTACTTCCCGATCGTTTTCGATTATTTGAATTTCGAAGCGAGTTATACGAGAGTATATTACGATGCAATATCGAAACAATTAACGGATTCAAAATTAAAATATCGAAAAAAACCGATGTAACAAAAACACGGATAATGTCCGTACGTATTATATTATAATCGATTGATAATGATTAAATTGATATTTCAATTGAAATATTATTTTTTTTGGAGAATTATAATATTACTGTCGATCTACATTTGTGTATATTTAATTGTCTAATAATATTTCTCGGACTAATATTATAATATTACGCGTCTGTATACATATAATAAAACCTATGGCAGTAAATTATTTACAACTTGGGTAAATATTACTATAAAAACGTCTGATGATACTAAAATATAATAAAAAAAAAAAAAAAAAAAACAAACTCGAATTACTTAAATAATACTGCACAATAAATACCTACACAAATTTCGATTCTGTACCTTATTTACGTACTTTCCGCTGGTCAAAAATTGCGAGGAAAAAGTTTTTTGAAATTGAGCATATAATATTTAGTATCTATATTATGTATTCCACGGGTTTTATAATCCATAACGGTATACTCGTATATACAAATTGTATATTTTTCCATTACGTATAAGTATGCGATAATATGTATTATACGACGACCGCGCGTGTTATACATTTTTACAACCTCTGAATTTTTACGATTTTCTCAAATCCGAATCATTTCTCGGGCAGTAGGAACATACGACGGGTACCATAATACCGATTAACACTATATTACACCCCAATAATAATTTCGAATCATTATCGTGGTATATTAACCGCGTTTTATGACGCCTTAGCCGCCGAACTGAAGGAAAAAAACATTGCATAAACACATCTGTATAGGCATATAACGCGTGTACAAGTCTGATGTTTTTTGTGACTGACATGACGCACCTATATTTTTAATATTTTAAAAGTATAATAAGCCAAGAAGCGATTGGAATTGTAACACCTTAGTTTTACTATACATAATGACGTGTGAATTTCTGTCCGATATAATCAAGTTTTCGACCAGAAGACTTTAACTCAGATTCATTAATTTCAGAAGTGTATTCTGGCAGAAAATGTCGTCTAATGTTGGTGCATTTAGGAGATCATATTTTGATACATTTTTTTTCATTTTATTTATATTGTCAGAAAACCGGCAAAATACGGGGTTATTTCCGTAACAACACGCGGTAACCAATAACACTACAAAGGTATCCGTTAATTGTTTTCATTCAGTGGATATTATTTGTACTGCAATTTTCACCGAATGCTCATACTGCCTAGTATTTTCTAGACGTAGTTGTTTTATTTTCGAAACAATCCGGCGATTTTTAGTTATTTATCCCTATTCGAAATTGCCGAATTTTTTTGGTTTCGTGTATGAATAAAATTGTTTTGGCTAAGTATACATTTTCGAAAATTTGATAAAAATAATTCCTTCATGACACTTTCTTTTTAAATATATAAAGCTATTATCTATAGGATCGTTTGTGCAATCATCATATAGGATATATAAGTGTCAATATATATACTACCTACATAATATTATAAACGAATTGGTATATTTATACGCGTAATTTACGACTGCGCATTTATATGATAAAGACTAGAGGATCTATTAATAGCTGGCCCGGAAATTCTTATCTATTGCTAGGTAATATAGTGTAAATAATAATAATAGTTTGCTAAAAGTCCGTGACAACAACATTGTAATCCGTGTCACCAAGGAAACCAGCTATAAACCAACAAATAAAATGTAATTAATACGTTCCGAAAATACCCAAAAACCGTCCCGTCCCGCGCTATAGCTGTCCCAGGCCAAATTGTTACCCGTAAATAAACTAAAATAAATAAATAATTTCGTACCGGTAACACCTAAAATCCCATAATTTACCCTCTTATTAGGGTTGAATTTTCGAAGAATCCTTATTTCTTAGGGGATGCTTAAGTTATATATTATAATAGCTATATATCTATATGCCAAATTTCAGTCCAATCCGTTCAGTGATGGTTTGGGCTAGGCGATGATCAGTCAGTTAGTCAAGACATACTGTATAATAATACACTGCAGTTACTCCAATTGTTATAGTGAAATTTTTTAAAAAAACAAAGTTTCAAGGTTTTTATAAACATTCGTACATTGCGTTTGAAAATCATTACTATATTGATTATATAATTTGGTAAATATAATTTACTTTTTACTGTATCGGTGCATGATTTATATTGGTATATATAATCTATATAGGTACAAGTTATAGCGTAACAACTTACGCATAGAATGTAATTACTTACCCCATCGTGAGGCAAGTATTGTTACATTTTCATTGATCGCATTCAATATTAATGTATATAACCAAAATGTGTTTTATTTCAATTCAAATTTATACCAAAACGTGACTAAGATATGCGGCTAAGATGAAACACGGGCCAACTATCATGAAAATGATAAAAATAAAAATATCGAAATTGTTTCAACTAACCCCGCTCTCCCCGATGTAGACTATAAGTGAACCAAAAGACGGTACATTACGAGCGAATATTTTCGTTCGACGAGCGAAATAAATTCCCAGTCACCGTACCGCGGGCACGCGGCGGCGGCGTCGGCGTCGGCGCCCGAGCCACCGAGCAGCCCGTCGTCGTTCGATTGAAGTATCGTTGTCGAGGCGCGCGCCGCGACGTGACGGCCGCGACCGAGCGACGTCATTGGTCGGCGGCCATCTTGGATCGCGGGCCCGACTCCGGCGGCGCGCTCTTTCACAGCAAAAATAATATCTTCATTTAAGAACGACCCCGACCGCGTCCGGCAGTCCGACATAATCCTCGGAAAATCGTGCGCGCACGAAATTTTCGAGTTTTAATTTTTTCGTTTTTCTGTCTCCCGCACACGAGTCGCGTACACACGATTACATATATATATATATATATATATATATATGTTTCATGTATAATATATTATTTTACACCGAACATATCGTATTATAATAGGTACACATAGGATATACGATCATTCAATACGCGCGCGGGGTTCGGTTTCGATAATTTTATTCGCAAAGTAATCCCAACGGTATAATATTATTATACATAGGAACCACCTATATATATATATATATACACGTCACGTAATTACAATATAAATATTTATAATATCCGTTTTCGATCGATAGGTTTTCCGGCAGCGCGGCACGCACGTCTAAATATTATACCTATATTATTATCATTAATTCGCCGTCGTGGGGATGCGCGCGTACACCGGACGTCGCGCGGGATCCGTCAAAACCGCACCGGAGATTTCGGGGCGTTGTTGAATTTTCACGTACCGCGGTCCGCAATTTAATATAACAGTATCGTACGACCGGCGCCCGAGAAGTTTTCCGAGAAGTTTGCGCGGACTTTCGAACGTTAAATTAATAATTGATATTATATACCCGCGCGTTCGATCCGAAAACTGTCGCGTTCGCCCGTTTTATCGTCGACAAGCTCGATTTTCGGCTCTACCCCGTGTGTGTGTGTGTGTGTGTGTGTGTGTGTGCGTGTGTATTAAACATATACAATACATATACGTACTCGGACGTACAAATACGCACGTGACCGCGTTTCGAAGGGTCGTCGAGGCGGAAGCCGCAGGGCGCCGAACCGGAAACAGTGTGCTTGTCTCGCGACGGACGCCCGGAAGTGGCGCGCGGTTACGTTACATATTATGTACGCGTGTGTCGATCGCCGTCATGTCGCCCGCAACACGTAAGTTTTGATAATCATCATCGAATGTATATATTTTAATTTTTCTTTAAATTTTATTACATATTTATACATAACTATAAGGGTAGTGTACACGCGGCTATATTATATACTCTAGTAGTTCTTAATCACGAGTGTCAAAGACAGTATACTAAATCATAATTTATCATATATATATACGTTTTATTTTTTAGAAAAAAAATCAATATTTGTCATGTACATCTAAAAAATACTAATTTTATTTATAACAAATTAATCGAGAAAGATGGACTTTTTTTTTATATCGACAGCAGAGAAAAATTGTAGATTTTAGTAATCAACCTGCAGCTTCTTGGTTAGCTACAAGAGTCTGGTGTCAGGCATTTTTTAAATTTTTGTCTTGAGATTTTTCATGATGCTAATATTATTATAATGATATTATAACAAACAAAACAACAAACAACTATATTTTAGTAATTGTTTAACCAACAATTTAAGGAAAATAAAAATAAGAAATATATACGATAAGATTTAAGTAAAACTGGACATGTATTTATAAAATAGTGAGCCCCCATGACATTTTCAAAATCTGGTGTTTCTGTGTACGTATATACTTATTTATAGTTAAAACAAAAAAAGATGTTTAAATTATTTTAAATTGTGTCGATATTATTATTGGACATTATTTCGTGTGTATATAAACATTGTTTATTGTTCTCGAATTCGAAGACGTTAATTGAAAAAAGTATAATTTAAAAAAAAAAAAATATTAATAAATATTTCTCTGATTTCTCTAAATAGTAGATAGGTATCTTGGTTTTTAATTTTTTACAGACGAATTTCATAATTTTGAATTTTTCTTCAATCACAAAATATTTTGGATCGTAATATCGTTATTCAAAATTGTACCATTTATATATATATATATATAGGAATTTGAGAATTTTTGATAATGTATTAAACTATTATTATTATTGTTTGAACACGAATTTTTTTAAAATTATTATGATCTATCCTCATCGTAAAAAGTTCCTTAATATAATTAATATTGCAGTGTAACATAATATATCTTTAAAAAGCGCGTTGAAAATATATAGGCAATAGATAAAGTTGTGTAATTTTATAAATTACGGTAAATTTTATGGAACACGTAAAAATATGTATTTGTGCAGTATATATCCGGCTACGGTCTACGTTTTATTAAAATATACTGTACTTTTAAATATCAGAATTTTGTACTGAACATTTATAATTTTAAATGTAGCATTCATAAATATATAATATTATAAATTAAATTATAAAGAGTAGTCTGTATGTGTGCGAAGCATAGCCGAATCTGTCGCACGCAGAGATGAGAGGTCTGAAAATATGTATACATAAGTCGAATTTCAAAAATTCAACATTTAAAACGTGACTCCTATACATTTTTGATACTTTTAAAACAAAAATTGAATTATTTTTATTGATTTTTTAGTTACTTTGGGAGCAAGTATGAAACAGGATGAGACAGTTATTACCAGCTAATTTGGTTTTCGCGGGGGAAGGGAAGAACGCCAATTTCCATTAGAAATCAAAAGCATTACTAATTTTTTTTTTTTAATTGATGATAATTAATATTTTATTGTAATCTATAAACCTTAATTAGTGTTTACATTTTTACATGTTTAATAAAAATTGTAATTTGTTTAAATCTGGTGATGATTTGTTCTCCTGGCCTCTTGTAAGTGCCCATAGTACAAACAAGAAAGCAACATTTAAAAAAAGAGTTGATACTGGGAATGGGAGTGGCCACTATTGTAGGTAAGGAATTGGGAAGATAGGATACATAAGATTGTTTCATTTATGTTTGTAAGCAACGATAAACCATTACCGACGAAAGACGATTCCGAGCGCAGTTCGGTAATACATAATTCGAATTGCCGTATTTTTTTTTTTGCGATTTTCTTTTGAATTTAATTTCAAAACGCTTATCAAAAAAAAAAAAAAAAGTAGTCATCCGATGATTTTGGTAATTTTACCACGTTTAGGTAAGTCCAATATAAGTATTATTAACAATTTTCAAGTCTCATACTAGATCAAGTCTCTACGTGTATTTATAACCGAATTACAGCAAAGAAAATACCAAAAATTTAAATTCTTTAAAAGCTCAAAAGTAGCTTAAAAGTTTTGGCAATAATACCGTACGAAATTAAATCAAAAAATTAACAAAAAAATTAACTTGTGATTTTTCGATTAAACTTTTTTTTTTGTAGAAAACATCCTCTGAGTTTTTATAAAATAATGAAATCGTGAAATTGTAGGTTTTTCTACTTTTTTTTCTACTTAAGTGATTTTATTTAAATTATAGCGTTGAAAATCACAAAATGATTTCTCTAAAGTACAATCTAAAAAAAAAAATAAACATCTTAGTAAAACCAATAGCTCTCTCGCTACGCTTGGAATCTAAAAAATTAAATAAATAAATACCGGGTAACAACAGTTAACTGTGATTGGGACGAAAATAGAAACCGAGAGTCATCGCGGGGAACGCCGGAAGACGAGTTTTAATTGTTTTTTTCGTTCAATGATCGGGGCAAAGATATAGTAAACTCCCAAATATTATTCGACCTAAATAATATTAATCTTAGTACACATTATTTTCTAAACTCAAGTTTGAATAATCCTAAGTATTTTTTACCAATAGCCATGTGATTATACTGTATGTATACAGCATATAGTGTATGTAACAGCCGAGACCTTATCCTTTATGATACAAAAATACATAATTTTAATAATAATGATTATACATTAAAGTTATCGTTATTGCGTGCAATTTTAGTGGCTAACTTTTAATAATGAGACGATTTTTTTCAAAACTCGCGTTTTTATAATAAAATAACTATATTTACTTACATTTATTTCAAACAACTAAAATATATTTATTACTTATTGACCATAACGATTAAAACATAAAATATACTGTTCTTTAAATTTAAACGGCTAAATTAATTTATTATATACGATCCGGTAGTGAGAATGTCTAACGAAATTAATACTACAAAATTAAATCGATCTTTCTAATTAGTAATTATATAATGTTATATTAATAAATTAACTTTAAAAGTATAATGATTAGTATAGAAACAGAAAGTAATCTAAATCAACATTCTTTTTTTTTTTTTTTTTTTTTGTAACACGTCACAAATCATCTCGAAAAGTACATCGGGTTTTTTCAAGTTTTTCTTTTTGACAAAAGAAATCATTATGTGATTATTCAACATTATATTATTTAAATTACGTGATAAATTAGATTTAAAACTAAAATTTTAGAATTAAAAATATGATTCTAGAAATCATATTATATAATTTAATATAATAATTATTTTCTGTGCTATATATATGATGCAACTTTATATCTTTAAAACTAACACGTTTAAAAATACCGACGAATTTAATTTATTATTTTATAATGCGTTATACGGTCTATACTGCCACGCAGTAAATCGTGATCTTTATATAATTTTTTGTATTTAAACGAATAGATCATCAATAGATAACCTACCAATAAAAAAAAAAAATTAACTAAAACAAACGAGTTTTCTAGGATAAATATTTTATAAATACAGAAAAAAATATACAAAGTATATATTATAGGTACTCACCGGTTTTAACACTTTCAACACTTACGGCAGCAGCAAACCGACTAGCGGCGGTATCGTACAGGTCTCGCCAATAGTATAATAATAATAAGACCTTTTACGCGTCCCGATATAGAATACATATGTCTTATGTAGATACCTTTTTTTTCTTCTTCTTCTTCTTCTATATAAATATTTTCAAGGTCCGTATTTATACAAAGACAAGTACCTGTTTTTTTTCTCTCGAGAATCTCGCGCAGACATCGCGGGGGTCCGTATTCGGCTGTACACACGGAAGCAAAAGGCCGCTTCTTCCTTCAACACGGAGGTCAAATTATATTATACTGTACGTATAGGTATATTATATTATAATATTATAATATATATATATATATATACGTCACACATGCGGTTAAGGTTTGCAGGGTCCTTTTGGAGGCCATTCGTGTGCCGAGCACGGCCATAAAAACGTTTCGTTATTCTCGTATAGCAGGGGCGAGGTCAGCGCGGAGACAGTCCCGCGGGCATTTCTCCTTCTCCGACGACCGCGACGACGACGGGTGGAAAAAAACAGCATGAAACCCGCGTAATAATTTTGTCCGTCTCGAAATAATATGGAGGAATAAAATATACCAACACTGCAGCCAGCTACAAATATTATACACTATAATAATATCGATGATTAATAAGTTAATAAGTAAACTGCAAGGACGTAAAATTCCAAAACGTAGTAACAAAACATAAATTGACTTTCAGTCTATAATCTATATCATATTGTGACGTGACATTTTTTTTCCACGAGCAGTTGCAGTATAAAAGCGAAAAACCACTTGGCAACCCAAG